AGCATTGTGTGATTGTTGTGTGAAATGGCTTTTAGTTGAAATAACACATTAAAATGTGTGGTTTTAAATGGAATGTATTATATATATATATATATATATGCTATGTTCAGAAAGGAGTAAAATGGTAAATAGGAACCTAAAATGGATCAGAAAGCATGATTATAAGGATGAGAGTTCACCGAGTAAAGGAGATGATAAATATCATATAGTAAGGTTTTCTCAGTACCCAATAGGGTGTAGTGTTGGAAACAATTCTCTTTAGTGCCTTGTAAGGTGTGGTGTTAGAGAAAATCTCCTTAGTGCCTATTAAGGTGTGGTGTTGGAGATGTGAGATTCCTTAGTGTATTTATGATACATTGTGTGTATTGGGGAAAACCATAGTCTGTATATATGTTAGGACATCTTTGACTGGATGATTCTACCACTGCAAGTGAGCTCAAGGCCAATAAGAATGTACATTAGTCTGAGCTCTAATTTAACATCTGAGAACCTTTTTATTACTATTGGGCAAGAATAAAAACCCTCTAATTCTATTGATTCAATTTCCCCATAACTCATTTTTAGAGAAATTTGTGTAAAATGGAAGGTAAGAGTTATATGAAGCTTACCTAGCAAGTTACTGATCTAAATCACCTTCCACCGCTCCAAAATAGCTTGACTTAGCCCTCAGCCCTTCTCCTCTCTCTATCTCGTGTGTTTCTCAATTTTTTTCCTCTGAATTTTCTAAAATTTCATGACTTATGTGTGATTTTTTGGTCCATGTGCCGCAGCACATGCAACGCAAGCGGCGGCATGTGGCATAGTAAGATTTATTCTCACCACGCACACTTGCTTTAACCCGAAATGCACTCCTATCACCCATATCTGTTCATACAACACACAAACGAGTCAAAATACTAATTAATCATTTGAATCTCTAATCCCACACTAATTTTGACTTCACCCTCGATTAACCTCTAAACTTAGGATTAAGAAATTCAGGATGTTACACTCAAAGTACACACAGCTTCAATGACTCAAGCTGGTCCAGGCTCTCTTCCCTTGCCCTATAAACATGAAACCATGGGGGGTGAGATAAAAATTTCAGTAACAGAATAACTCACTCCTATTGACTATCACATGCAACTATATGAAAGTAAAGCATTATATCATTTAGTATAACATATCACATATTCCATCTTCTATTTACAACCACATGTATCCATACATAACTTTTCACCACTTTCTCACTTATAACAGCATATTACATCACATAGCATTCCATAGCATGATCACTATTGACCAAACCTCTAAATCACCCTGACACGAAACCATAGGCTCACCTTAGACCAATGTACACTTTCATTAGCCTTGAGCTCACCTTTATTGGTAAAATCACCCAGCCAAAGGTGTTCTACTCACTTTTGAACGATAGTTTCCACCAATACACACAATGGGTTGTTGTTGACTCCAACACCATATCACATAGACACTACGAAGTCTCAAATCTCTAACATTACACCTCAATAGGCACTAAGGAGATCTTCTCCAACACCGCACCTTAAAAGGTACTAAGGAGGTATTTCTCCAACACCACATCTTGTCGGTACTAAGGAGAATATGTTATATGGTCTTATCACTACCTCTCTACTCAAGTGAATTCCCACCCCTATGATCATACTTTCCGAACCTTTTAAGGTTTCTTATTACAACTTTATATGTTTTATCATATATATATATATATATTAACATATCATTTAAAATCACCTATTCCAATACTTTTATTCTATCAAAAGTTATTTCATGCAACATTCACACAATGTTATAAAACATGATTAACTCAAAAATCTTTCATACACTACATAACATACTAACACACAATTACAATAAACAGCCAAACAAAGAAAGTTATTTAGTTATTTTAACCCTTCTGTCACTAAAAAGGTTACCCGTGGATTTCAACTACCACAATAGCTTATCTCAAGCTTCCTTTCTCTACTCACACGTCAATATGCCAATTTGGACATATATAGCACATTTTAGTCATTGGTCAATTTTGACCAAAAACTCATATTTATTACTTAGGACTATATTCATCCGTAAACTCTTTTCCATTTATGCATTTTAGGTTCATTACTACCCGATTACTACTTTACATCATCTCAACCAGTCTTGTTTCACTTAAACATGATTTTTGCCCTAATCTCTCTCTCTCTCTCTCTAAGAGCCAAATTAAGCCTATAGGCTTAAAGCTCTACTGTCTAGCTTTAAACCAATCGCAAAACTCTAATTTAACTCCCAATAACATTTTTATTACTATTAGGGAAGAATCAAGCCCCTCAAATTCTACCAATTTAATTTTCTTATAACTCATTTTTAGAGAAATTTGTGTAGAATGGAAAGTAAGAGTTATACATAACTTATCTGCTAAGTAACTAATCAAAAACACCTTCCCATGACCTAAAAAAGCTTGCCCTAGCACACCCTTCACTTTCTCAACTCTCCTTTTGTGTGTTCTAAAATTCTCTTCTTTGAAATTTCTGAAATTTCATGACTTAAGAAGTCATTTTCTAGTCTATATGCCATGGCACATGCAGCACAAGCTATAACACGTGGCACAGTGAGATTTATTCTTACCACATACATTTGCTTCAACTTGAAATGAACTCCTTCCACCCATGCCTGCTCACACAACATCCCAATGAATCAAACTATCAAGTAATCATCCAAATCTCATAATTACACATTAATTACCACTTTCCCCTCGGTTAACAACTAATCACAAGATTAAAAAATTCAAGATGTTACATATCTCTACTCTTTTGAGAACATTATCTTTAAGAGGAATCTTCTAAGAAACTCTAGGGAAGCTAATATGGTGGCAGATTGGATTTTTGAAGGAATTGTGTCTTTTAGATTGGGTTGCTTGGCCTCCAATTCCTTTATTTAATATTTTGTCGAATGATCAATCTTGTTTTAGAGATTCTGATTAATGTTTTGTTTTCTTCTTTTGTTCTTATTTTGTTTGTTGTGAGACTCATTTGCTTAATAGAATCTCTTTCTGATGGCAACCAAAAAAAAGTCAAATTATATTATCATCATCTTGGAAACCTCATATTTTCCCTAGTTAACTAGGGTTATTGAAGTATATTAATTGTATTTTATGCATTGCAATTAATGACCAATGCTTGAACGGTGTGTGCTGTGCTGTAGAAATTAGTAACATCAGAAACTATATATAGTTAACAGGATCTAAGTTTAAATTCTCAGTTATGGCAAATCTCAAATCAATCGAATCATAGTTATTAAATTAACAACAGAAAAAATCACATTAACTATGTACCATCACAAGCTTCTGAAGTGGATGCCTGACCTTGCCAGCCAGCCTGACTAGGAAGATCATGTTTCCCAACCTTGTGCTTCTTCATGTATCTATCCAGAGCATGGGTGACTAACCCTAGCGACGCACTATACAGTTTTGTCACATTGTTCAATGGCACATTCAGTGCCTTGGCAATGCCACTCTGGGTTGCCTATCTGTCGTAACAAGTGTCATGGTTGATCGCCATGATAAGGTGATCCAAAAAATCATAGAAAATGATTTTAACAATTACAAGAAAGGACCAACATTTCTATAAGTTTTAAGGTCATTCCTTTTCTGTAATTTATGATCAACTAATAGTCAATGTCAATATTTGTTAAAGGCAAGAACAATATTCACCATTTCTATAACACACGTAGTCAGGTAGACTTTACATCACCTGAATTCGTAAGACTCACCCGACTATTTTTGGTTATTTTATTTTGTCTTATTGTGTGTGTGTGTGTGTGTGTGTGTAAAGAGAGATTAATTAAATATGTTGTTGAGTTTCATATATACATACATTTGGGGTGATATTCAGGATATAAGATATAGAATGTTACAAATTTAGAGAAGCTTGCGTGAGCCGTCTTGACAACGAAAGATTTTAAGACAGCCTCTTGTGTATGGATTAGCAGGCTTCATTAGTATGTGTCTTCTGTGTATACTTTGGAAGCCTTCTTCATAATAATTAACGTCTTTTGCTTCTTCCCCACCAACCACCTCAATGGTCATCATCATTGAGAATACCAACACAGCACAAAGCAACAGTACTACTCTCTTCATTGCTTTTGACATAGCCATATTATTCGATCTCCAGAAGCAATCCCACTTTCTTTCTTATGTTTCTTCAAGATTCTTGCTTAATTATATTCTCTGCCTCTAACACGTGTGTGTGTGTGTGTGTGTGTGTGTGTGTACTCAAAAAAACGTTTTGTCTATTATAAGCTATGCATTCAACTGCATTCCCATATTATCTTCTCGTTCTATATTACTTGGTTATAACTTAACATGGGAATGGCATACTCTTTTTGTTTCATTTCAATAACAGAATTCAGTTTCTTCTTTTTTTCTTAATATATTCTACTGCCACGAGATGGTAACAATATAATAGTCCTTTTAAAAAAAAAAAAAAAAAACTCTGTAACATGTTACTTCCTTAAAAAAAAAAAAAAAAAAAGCCCAGGCAAATATACTGATTAAATCGACGGATTTGTTGAGAAGAAACAGAACAACTAATTTCTAAAGGTAACTACAAGAAACCAACAGTGGTCTAAATATTTTTCCAACTCTCCACCTTTTATATGCTCAGTCTGTGGAAAGAAAATTAAACTGGAGAGGAAAATACACACACACATGAATGAATGCGCTTGAGTGATAACGTGCATAGATAGAATTGGTGTGTTTGCTATTAAGATTTCTCTCTGAAATCTAACCCCTTGATAACTATAAGGCGAAGGTGCAAGGTACAAGAAAGTTATTGGTTAGAGCAAGAAATTAAATAAGAAGATAACTATCATGATAATAGCTACTTAACTAGCTTTGCAATAATATGAAATTTTCCTATGACTACATCACGAGGTTCGGATCCTTGTGAATTAAGTAAGAAGAATTTGAATGGTCTTGGCCTCTTGAGATAACAATAAATTAAATGAGATCCTGTTACATTACTTGATAGTAAATGGATTCTTATTACACTACACAACAGAACAACAAATAAACCAACAATTTCCATATATATCTTCCTAATTAATTAATCTAGATAATCACAATCCTCCATTGAAAGGTATATCAGCATAAGGAATCCATGTCTCTCCCAATGTAAACTGAGACACAGTAAAGTTAAAAGCTTCTTCAGCATTCAAAACATAATACCCTCCCCATTGAACTCTCTTACTCGTAATAGCCCCAGGACCATAATTACCAAACTCACCATAAAACAACGTATCTAACCCTAATGTCCCATTCCACTCTAACCACCCACGAGGCTGAACAAAGTCTCCGATATAAGACTCCATCACCACGGTTCGTGAATATTCCTTCCACGGCCGGCCCAGGTAGGTGAGTGTCGAGCTGTTGCTGCCACTGGCATTGTCATCGTCATCGGAAAGAAAGGTGCAGTTTTGGATGGCGATGCCGGTGTTTTGGTTGGGGTCGATGCGGCCTTGAGCGGTGACGGTGTTCTTCTGTCGAGGTAGAGGGGTTCGAGTGTGGATGTTGCAGTTCTGGAAGACGGCCGCGGCGTTGCCAAAGATGAAGTCGACAGTGCCGTAGATGAGGCAATCGCGGTAGAACTGGCGGAGAGTGTGGACGTAGAGTGTGTCTTGGTAACCTTCGAAGCTGCAACGATAGAAAATGGAGAGGTCGGCGTTGTTCCTGACTGCTACTGCTTGGTGCTTCTCGGGACCTGCCGTGTTCCTGAAGGTAACGTCCACTGCTACAAATCTATCGCCGGACACAGCTGCATTGTTGTTAAAATAAATATTTTAGAACTCAAACTCCAAAGTGGCCGTAAAACTAATACTTTTGTCCCTTTTCAATCAATTAAAACTCATTCCCCCAACTTGGACTATCACTCAACTTATATAATTTTGACTTGATTCCTATAATTTTTGACTGGATGAAAATTGATTCCTATAATTTTAATCATTTAAAACATTAGTCTTTAACATTAAAAAAAACTGTAATTAATCTTTTGAATTTACTTCTAAAATGTAGTGGCGAACGGCTAAAAATATAAGTTGGATCAAGTAAAATTAAAGTGATGTGGCTGAATTTTAATTGAATCAAAATTAAAACACAGCCAAAATATAGGGACTAATTTTTAACTGAGTAAAAATTATAGAGACCAATTATGATTAATTTTCTGAAATTATTAAAATTTTATTTTTTTTAAAAGAGAAAAATTATAATGTGGTTAAAGATGGGCTGACCTTTGGGACAAACATGCGTTGATCAATCAATTTAGGTATTAAAAATTAAATCAGCCATTAAATTGATTAAGCCACTGATTCAAGACTTAATAGTCAAAACTATAGTAGAATAGTGATACAAACTTAGTTTTTACTTATCAAAAATGGTAAAATTAAGTTTAACCGCCACTATATTGTATTTTGAACCCCCATTTACTTTGTTCTAGATCTGTGCTTAATTGGGCGACTAAACCCAGATATCCATACTCATTTACGAGGGATGAATGAAACAATAATATATATTCTGGGAGATAGCACAGTAAGAAAAACACAAATAATTAATGATGAGGGAGAGAAAACCAAGAGAGAGAAGGGGAGATTGGTACCAAAAGTTGAGGAATTGTAAGTAGTCCAACCATCAACGACACTGTGATCGCCGGTGATGACAGTGCGACCAATGCCATCACCAATAAGCAAGACGTTCTTCTTGTGAATGGGCACCAAAACGTACTCCTCGTAGTATCCTTCTTTTGCGTATATGACGAAGTAGCCATCTTGAGGCCTCGTGTTGCTCGGAGCAGCAGCAATGGCGTCTCCGATGGACGTGAAGTTGTCTGAACCTGAAGGGCTCACAACAATGAACTCGTTCAGCAGAATTCCTTCCTCTAATGGGCTCTCTTCCATTATCCTTTCCTTTCTGTTGCTGCCATACTTGCCCCGAAGAAGCTGCAGTACCCAAATCATGATATTTCTCAGCTTTATTAATTATAATGTCATACCATATAAAGTAAGGGTTACGGGGCTTTTTTATGTCTTTTTCTAATCTCCTTTGTAATGTTCGTCTTTCCATTACCAATTTTGATTGTTTTTCTTTTTCGTTTAGTTTGTTGGCTTGTAAATTTTGAAGTCCTAAATCAATAGAGTTTTGTATTTTTCATATGATTTTTTTAAAAAATATCAAAATCACATACTTTTATATTTTAAAAATCATAAAAAATACAAAAATATACTATTTCAAGATTTCAAGATATTAAAATATTTCTTATTTCTATATAAGCCAATAATCTAAAGAAAAAAAGACAATCAAAGTTGAAAAGGCTAGATATTACAAAGAATATTATGAATAAAAACATTTGAGGCCCCTAGCCTAGTAAAGTGTAAATATGCTTTATTAGAGTAAGAGGAAAAAAAAAACAAGAAAAAATCTCTTGAACATCAAAATGATCATAAAATAAAATATAAATCAACATGAACATATATATAGGGATCATAATTTAGTCTTTTAATTTTGACTCAATCATCAATTTCATTCTATGAACTTAATCTTTATCAATCAAGTTTATAAAAATTTATAACCACACATAATTAGTCTAATAGAATAAAAGTTATTATATATAAAAAATAAATTTGTATCAAAACCCACGATATTTATAAATTATGAACAGATGGGCTTTCTTTAATATTGATTAAGCTTTTTGGACAAATCTCACGTTATTTTTATTTCGTCAACAAATTATTGACAAAAGTAAAAGAACCATATATCATGCAAGAATAGCGGAGGAACGCACCATCCTACAAAATAATTGGTGGCACGTGCATTCTCTGATGGCAATGCTTGAGGAAAACAAAACCCACGTGACGTGAGTTCATATTCTGATGAGTCTCACATGCTTATTATTATGATAACATGTGGATTGTTCAAATCTAGTTTATGGCTGGTTCAAATCTAGAAATTTTAAAATGTACTTTTTATATAATAAGTTTATTTTTTTAAAAGAGAGAGCTATGAAATTATCTTTATTTTAGATTATGTACCTGAAAAAATTTTGAAGTCTAACAATAAAATTAGATTCAATCTAGATTGTCAAAATTTAATCTATACAGTTTAAATTGATTTGAAGATGAGCACCCCATGGAGTGTACTCCCTTTAGGCATCACCTTATAACCTTAATTTAAATTAAAAAATATATAATTATTGGTCCATATAATTTTAATGTATTTTGATATAGGTTCCTATTGTTGTTTTTCCATTAATTGCTTCATGTCTCTTTAGTTTACACTGTTTGTAATGTTAGCTGCTCTATTATTGAATATACCAAAAACAATGAGATAACAATATAACAGTATTAAATATGCCAACATGTAACTGTAGATCTGTGCTGAGGTGGCATTATGATTCAACATATTAACAGCGTTGTCTATCCTGTCCTGTTTCATGTTTCAATATGTTGAATCCTAATTCAATCTCAACATATATTAATGATGTTATAGTATTAGTCAAAACTCAGCATATTTAACATTGTTATAGTATCACCTCATCATTTTTTTTGGACATATTCAAATATAGAGTGACTAACGTTGCAACAAGGTAAACTAGAGGGACTTGAAGAGACCAAAAAAAATTACAAAGACCTATAGGACCAATAATTATATTTTTTTCCATTATATTAAATTAATACAGAAACTTGCAGCTTTCAGAGTTGTATTGCAACCAGCCCATTAGCCTATGCATGCATGTGGTTGATTTAACCAATTACTTACTACATATATGAATATATAAATTTCAATTTAAATCCATGAATAGATTCAAGTCAAATAATAATGTCTTGGAAGCCTCAAATTAGTCATAATTAATTGAAGTACATTAATAGTATTTTACATATTGAAATTAATTATCAATCTTCGAATGGCGTGTGCATGTGTTGTACAAAATAGTAACATCAGAAATTATCCATAATAAACAGGATCTAAGTTAAATTTTCAGCTATGGCAAATCTCTAACCAATGGAATCATAATTATTAAATTAACAACAGCAAAAAAAAAATTCAAATTAATTACCTTGACAAGCTTCTCAAGTGGCTGCCTGACCTTGTTAGCCTGACTAGGAAGACCATGTTTCCCAACCTTATGCTTCTTCATGTATCTATTCAGAGCGTGAGTGACCAGCCCCAGCGACACACTATATAGTTTGGTCACATTGTTCAATGGCACATTCAGTGCCTTGGCAATGCCACTCTGGGCCGCCACCAACCCATCGTAACAAGTGTCGTGGTTGGTCGCCACTGCGCTGAGATATGTCTGGATCTCCTTCAAAAGCTCCGGGCTTGATGCTTCCACAGTGTTCAGCTCAGACTTGACGGACTCCAAGTAACCGACGTTCAGTTGGTTTAGCTCCGTGCAGTCAATCAATGCAGCAGTCTCTTCACGGTTAAGAGGAGAAGAAGAGGAATTGCGACTTTGCTTTTTGAGGAATTTGTTGAACACTTTGACGAGTTTCTTGGCTTGCTTTAGACTTTGCTTGATTGAGAACTTGCCAAGTGAATAAGGATCTGATGGCGAGTAACGAATGGCTGAGAGAATGGAACGACACAGTTTTGGGTATAATGTGGACTTGCAGGCTACGGAGGGGGGAGGAGGAGGAGGAGGAGGTTGAGCTAGGAGCAACAGTGGTGGTGTGAAGAAGAGGAAGAAGAGAAAGAGAAGGGAAGTGAAGAGAGGAAGGAATGACATAGTAGTGAGATATAAAGCTTGATGATTATGAAGCTAGCTAGGGTTGATAATGTTGATGACGTTTTGATATATTTGATGAGACTGCTTGTAAAGAAGGTGATGATGGAATGGGGTTTTATAGGGAAGAAAGGAAGAAGAAGTTAAGAGCGAGCATGTGAAAGCGCGTGGAGAATTATTATTAATGAGGATTAAAGACTATGTGGGGAGTACGAGTTGTCGGTTTGAGTAAGACACAAACGGAGATAAATTTAATGAGTTCCTAAGTATGAGAACGTGCAAGGAAATTCTTGAATCAATTCAAGAAGCGTTTACCTCAATTAATAAGAAGTGCATTAGGTGGTAAAGGCTTGCTTAATACTCCACCTATCAAAAAATGTAAAGCATTTTCATGAAAATAGATGTTAAAAAATGTAGAGCATTTTTAGTATTTTAAAGTGTAATTAATATGATTTTTTTAAAAAAAATATGTATAATAAATGAATCACTTTATATTTATTTTAAAATGAAACATCCTCTTAACTATGGATAAATATGGAAAGATAGTATATGCTTGAAGACAGTTGACTAATTCATTAAAGGTGAGATTCGATTAAAAATATTTTATATTTTTGAACAGAGGATGTAAGGTATATAAACTTAGAGCTTTGCAAATTTAAAAAAAAAAAAGAAGTGATAATGAAACCCTTAGCCCCTCAATTTTGTCTCAAGTATCGATTGCATAATTGAAATTTGATTTTTATCAATCAAGTTCCTAGAAAGATTTATATAACCATACACAATTGGACTTTATGATTTGAGAGGGAAATAACACTAGAAGGACAAATTGTTTATGATTATGAAAATTTAGGGATTTGATTGATAAATATTTAAATTCAATGACCAAATTGGTAACTAAAATAAACTTGAAGAACTAAAAGATTTAATTATAAGAGTAGCTAGAACACTCCTCTGTATGTTTTTATCTTATTTTTCATAGCCGTATGATTTTTATTTGGATGCTTTATTTTAAATTGGATATGTTTATAATTAGTGGCTGATTGGTTTATACATTGATAGATTTGGACGAATTTTGAGTTTGCCAAAAATAATTATTGATCGTAGGTGTTGGCTTGGTTTAGGGATTTGGATATGGAGTGTCATGCTCCTTGAGGGTTTGCCAAGGATGCTAGAGGAATGAATCCTCAAAGTGAGCAGTATATAAAACAATTGTGTGGGTTCCTAAAGTCCTTTTTCACAATTTTCTTAGAGTGCCAAAGATAGATGAAAACTAATGGTATGTAGAAGAATGTATAATGTTTGACTGTATTATTGACAAGTAAATACAACTATTGCTTTGCTGAATGGAGGGAAAAAGCAAAGCAAATAGCCTAGAAAGGTCTAATTTGTAATGACATAAGTAGTTGTGATGGGAAAACTTAGAGTGATGTCAAGTTAGTTGTTCTAATCTTTACATTGGGCAAGTTTGTTTGGGTGTGTTGAGTTTTGCAAGGTGTCTAGTGAGCCCAAGGGTTATGTGCTCATTGCCTTTTATAGAGAAAGGCAATGACGTGCTCCTTTAAATTCAAATTTTGACACCAAGGGCAACAGGTAACTGTCCACACCTTTCTGGGCAATGTTGGTTCACCTCATCTTAGGAGAGTGACTAGGTGAGTGATGTAACATTTTAAAAATTTAAACTATGCCTTTAAAATTGGGATTAATGTGGAGTTAAATTTGTAGGATTTTATTCTAAGTCATAGTTTAAAATAAATAAATAAGGTTAGGTGAAATTAAATTTAATTATTGAAGATATTTTTTCTAGCTTAACATACTATAAATATCCTAATTTTATGAAGATTTTACACCTAAACTTAACTCAATCCTTTAAATTTTAGGGAGTTTAGAAATATGCACATAAATACACACATGTATAGGATGGAATTTAAGAGGAAAAGGAAGAGAAAAAGAAAAGAAAAGCACAAATTGATTTAGAAATGAAAAAACAAAATAACCAATGAGAATTAAAAAAATAAAGAAAGAAGGGGGACAAACAGATTGTTTTTATAACGGACCATAGCCTATCATCTATTGACAAAGAAATGTGAAGAGGCTTTTCAAGAATTTAAAAAAAATTACCTCTATATTGATGTTGATCATTCCTAAACCTAATTGTCTTATACTATGTATAAAAATGCTTCCTTGAAAGGGTTAGGTTGTGTATTGATATAGGACCATGGAGTTGTTGTTTATGCATTGAGGCAGCTAAGACCACATGAAGAAAACTACTTGACACATGATTTTGAGTTGGCAGCAGTGGTGTTTATACTTAAGGTATGGTGTCATATCTTTATGGTTACACTTTTCAAGTATTCTATGATCATAAGAGTTTAAAATATCTAGTATATCATAAGGAGATGAACATGAGATATCATAGATTGATGGAGTTCAAAAAAGAGTACAATTGTGAGCTGAAGTACTATCTTGAGAAGGCGAATGTAGTTGTCGATACCCTAAGTCGAAAGCCCATTGACATGGTATACTTGATGGTTTGAGAACATTCACTATTTGGGGATATCATGAATGTGACTCAAGGAAGCCCACACTTATCGATAGCATAAGTTCAGGCTCTCAGGATAAGTCATGATCTTTGGGATGAATTAATAATCACATGATAAAAATTAAAGAAGAAATTGAATTCAGGAAGGCTATAGAGTTTAAGTTTAATGATGATGGCCACATAGTTTATTGAGATTGAGTCCATGTTCCTAATAATAAAGGATTAAGAAGGACAATTCTAGATAAAGCTCATTGGAGTAAATACACTATCCATCCTAGAGCAACCAAAATTTTTCACAGTGATAAAGAAGCAATGGTGGTGGATAAAGATAAAGAGAGATATGACTAAGTATGTATCATGGTGTTTGACTTCTTAGAAATCAACGTAAAGTATCTGAAGTCTCTAGGTATGCTATAGCTATTAGAGACTTTAGAGTGGAAATGATAACATTTCCATGGACTTTATTAGCTTTTTAAAGAACCCAATTGAGTCACGATACAATCTCAATAATCATTCATCGATTAACTAAGTCTACACACTTGCTAGCAATCATGATCATCAATTACTCATTAAAGAAGCTAGTAAAGATGTATATCTAAGAGATAGTAAGGCTATATGGAGTACATAGTTTTAGGCCATAATTATTGGTTTAAGTTGAACTTCTATAAGGCCTTACAAAGTGCCAAGGGTATAAAGTTGAAGTTTAGCATAGCTTACCATCCCCAGACTAAGCATTAAATAGAGCGAATGATTTAGACTCTTAAGGATATACTTCTAGCATGTATATTAGAGTGGATTGATAGTTGGGATAACCATCTTCCTTTGGCAAAAATTACATATAATAACAATTACCACTCTAGTACTTAGATAACTCCATGTGAAGTGTTGAATAGTTAAAAGGCAAATCTCCCCTATGTTAGACAAAAACTAGTGAGAGGAGTATTTTAGGGTTGGATTTGATAAACTAGACTACCCAAAAGATATAGTTGATTAAGTAGAAGCTATTGTAAAGCCTTACATAGCACCATGTGTAAGTTAAAGTTCAACATAACTTACCATCCATAGACTGATGGTTAGATTGAGAGAATGATTTAGACTCTTAAGGAATGATTTAAGCATGAACACCAGAATAGATTGGTAGTTGGGATAACTATCTCCCTTTAATAGAGTTTCTTACAATAATAGTGACCACTCTATTATTTAGATGGCTCCATATGAAGTCTTGTATAGTTGGAAGTGCATATTACCTTTGTGTTGGACAAAACTTAGTGAGAGTATTATTTTAGGGCCAAACTTGGTAGACTTGACTACTTAGAAGATTGAGATGATTAAAAAGAAGCTACTAACGACTCAAAGTAAACAAAAAAGTTATGTAGATAGATGTTGGAGACCATTGGGTCGAGGTAACAAAGAACTTAAATTTTCTCATATACTTCTTTAAGTATTTTTGTGGTACTTGGAAATTGCAAAATGTATATTATATATGAGAATGCTCTTTGGATGTTTCAAAAAATATGTAAAGTATGTATGAGCTTAGTTGCATAACATTGTGTTAATTGTGTAAACTATTGTTTTAAGCATGCCAAAATAATGTGTCCTTAAAAGGTGTGATATTCTAGGATTCAAAATCAAATGGTAGGTTACCAAGGTCCTTTACTATAATTTCCCTGAATGTAAGTGCTTAAAAGTGAAAGGAATGAAAAAATAAAAATGGAGGAACATGTGAGACTTGCATATTGAGAGCAGACACAATATTGGTAATAATAAAATAGAAATTACAAGAAATAAAAGATGGAAAACTAAAAGTAAGAGGCATTGGCATGTTGTTTCTGCTATTTTGCTAGGAGTTAGCACTCTACTAGTTGCTAGAGAATTTTAGAGCTCTCTATTGAATGTGTGATGCACCAAGAGCACTGTGTCAAATACATTGAAGGATAAAAGGAGTTGTGTAGGGAAAAGTAAGGGATGGCATAAGGTCAAAGTTTGAGTTTTGCACTAGATAAGTAGATTTTGAAGTGTTCAAGGAGATTGTTAAAAAAGTTGTGTGTAGTGTAGAAAACTTGTGTAGGTGTGTAGCTTCCTCCTTTTATAGGCACCACTAACAATTTTCTCCATGGTTCATGTTCCACTTACTTAAGGCCATTAGTTGTAGTTTTTCCTATATTTCTCCTCTTTTGTCTCCTTACTAAAATGATGCGTGCTTGACCAAGTCTTTTTCATAACTTCCTTCCTTCTAGAAGACCTTAGTAGACTTAGGCCAAAATTACTCTTTTTAGCCCAAATAGTTGGGCTTGGGGCAAAAATCATGTTTTAGCCTAAACAACTATGTATCTTGATGTTATGAGCATGATTTGAGATTTAAGGAGAAATATAACTATGCTTATGACCTTACGCACCATGATTGAGGAATGAATTTGTTGGCTTGTAATGATGTAACATTATACATGTTGAATTGAGTATATTGATAGCATGATTGTAAAATTAGAATGAGCGGGAGTTCACCCTAGTTTAGAGATAATAATATTGTAAGTCC